TCTGAGAGGTCTCTTGTCCATTAAGAAACCATCGTTTTATGGTCGTATCAGTCGACGAAGTGAATAACTCTCCATTACTGGATAGATGAATATCTACTATGTCACCAGCATGCGCAGGGAAGAATCTATACTGATCAAATTTTGTTCTATCGTTTGAATCAAAGTATCTTATGTCCAGGTCTCCACCTACAGTGCAGACAAGCTTTTCAGTGTCAAACCGAAGACTTGGTATGAAGCACTGTCGTTGCCGTGCTATTACATTTGTTGAAAATCTTTTATTCTCCCAATTCTTGAGAGTTCTGAGCCCATATTTTACTTTAGTTCGCCAGTCTGATGATAAAATACTCTTTGTAAGTATTTTCCATTTTTGTTTGATGTAGTATAATTTATAGCCATGCTCTTGTATTATAGAGTAATGTCCTTTGTCCGTTTGAGATAAAGCGACGAGATCTTCGAACGTTAAAAGGTCGAGTATGTGTAATATGATATCCAAAGGGAAACTAATTAATAACATTTTTGCAGTAGTAGTAGTAAGAGGACTATGGGTTGGAGATTCTATTTAATGTTTCATACGGATTAGCCGTAGGAATTTTTACTGCGGATAGGAGCATTGTATTTGTTTTACCAACCAAACACTGGGGAAATTCGACTGCGTTAATAATCGTTATGCTGTAATGAATTCCAACCAATGGTTCATTTTACGAAACATCAGGTATCAGGATATTTCAATTTTACAGCCGCTTCAGTTTTAAATGTATTTTTGGGAAGCGACGATCTCTTTTTCTAGTGATTATGTTAAATTATAGTCTATTATGACCAGTGAGTATACGATGACCAACATGAATACCGTCCTCAATGCCGATTGATGCCATGCTTAATATTAATATACAGGACGGCAACACTTTTCCCTTGCATACCTTGCGCATTTTGAGTGGTCGCTTGTTAAATATAATTGCGAGCCCCATAACGAATGAAGTCTTCACAGACATTGAATGTATTGTTTAAGAAATTATCATAGATAAGAAAACCAGTCTAATATTCCGCGGATATACAAGGACCGATCAGGGCGTTTGCATATGAACGACTATCGACTAACAACGTCGGAAGGGCATGTTTTACTTTTGTCAAACTTCGCGTTATAAGAGCTTAGTCGATTTCCATAAAAAGCAAGATTTTGTCAGAATTGCGTCAATCACTGGCACTAGTCTTAACCGATTAAAGTTAAAAGATTATGCACCGCGCTTTTCAAAAGTCAGTAATTACGTAGCAGTAAAATTAATATAACTCACCTACAACATTCGTTACTGGCTCGTAAAGTCATTCCTAGTTAACGCCCTGAATAAAAAAAAATTATTCTGGCCCATCGTGTAACAACATCCAGAAATGGGCGTTTGTTACACTAATACTAACACATATTGATCTGATCGAATTCAAAGATGGATCAAAAGGCAACTTCCTGCCTCTGCAAGACGCCACTCAATACTCATCATGACGGTACTCTCTAAACCAGTGAACGATGTGGCATCAGACATTAAAGTCAGCATCACCCCCGCTTCATCTGTTCGTTCGAGTCGGCAGTCAATCATAGCTTCGGCGGCTCTGTTATCTATTGCCACATATCTTGTTAACTATGTGTATAGGCAATATAGTAACAAATCGTCGAATAGCTATCCTTCCTATCGTCACAATTCCAAGGGTATTTTAATCGATGGTCCCATACCAGGAAGCGACAAATCCAGAGTGATGGTTCCGTACAAAAAACGGATGGCCGAAGTCAGATATCGCCCGACAAAGAAAGAGACCTTTGCTAAAAATAAAAAAATGTTCACTGAAGTGAAAGGGAATTCACAAATGAGTAAAGTTGGAGTTAATAAACATTTCTTTAAGCAATTGCTTGCTTTATTGAAAGTTATTATTCCCAAAATAAGATCAAAAGAAGTCTTTATACTAGTAATGCATTCGGCGTTTCTTGTGCTGAGGACTTACTTGAGTGTTGTAGTCGCTAAATTGGACGGAAGAATTGTTAGAGATTTGGTTAGTTTTATTTGGCTCTGTTTTTTTTCTCTCCTTTTTTTACGTAGATGACATCAACAGGAAAGCCGAAGGCTGCAATCGCATGTTTGTTATCGATTTGATATATATAATGTGTTTTATCCCCAACTTATTATCTTAATCAGGTCGCTGCAAACGGTAAAGAATTCTTAAAAGGACTCGGGTACTGGTTTGCCATTGCAGTCCCAGCCACTTACACAAACAGCATGGTATATGTTTGGGAATGTTTCATACGCGCACACATATCTCTTGTTTCTTTGTTCTTCTCATTTCCATATGTCTATTCTAGATTCGATATCTACAATCAAAATTAGCAATTGCATTCCGGACACGATTGACTCGTTATGTACATGACCTCTATCTCAACGACGGAAATGCTTATTATAAAATCGTTAATTTAGATAGCAGAATAGAAGGACCTGATCAGTGAGTTATATCTTGAAACTTTCGAGTTTACATGCACACTCATTAATATATCGCTTATTAAATACTTTGCTCTTTTTTGTTACCAGATTTATCACAACAGATATCTCTCGCTTCTGTGACGGCTTAGCCTCTCTCTATTCCAACCTCGGAAAACCAATTCTTGACACCATAATCTTCAACTATCAGCTTACAAAGAGCATTGGTGTTGCTGGCACTGCTGGCATATTTGCAAATTATCTATTCACGGCTTGGATATTGAGAAAAGTATCTCCTGCATTCGGGAAACTGGCTGCGACTGAAGCAAAACTCGAAGGCGACTTCCGAGCGGTCCATTCAAGACTAATTACTAACGCGGAGGAAATAGCCTTTTACCATGGAGCAGATTTGGAGCATTCCATACTTAATAGAACGTATACGAGGTTAATCAAACACATAAATTCGATCTTTAAGAAAAGGATAGGTTATAATATGTTTGAAGATTTCGCGCTGAAATATTGTTGGAGCGCTCTTGGATTAATGATGTGTGCGTTGCCTGTATTCTTTCCTGCCTGGGGTGGACGAGGAGGCCTAATGGAGCTTCAGACTGAGAGCTCGGCTAATGTTAAGGAGAGAGTTCGAACAAAGGCTTTTATTACAAATAAGAGGTGGATATTTTACTCAACATAATTTATTATATTGGCAGCAGTCACCAAATAACTAGTGCGTACGATCTAATTTATGTTTCCTCTTAGGTTAATGATAACGCTAGCAGACGCAGGAGGTCGTATGATGTATTCGTACAAAGAACTGGCTGAACTAGCCGGCTATACCTCTCGCGTTTATGGCTTCATTTCTGTCCTCCACTCTCTCCATGTGGGCGAATATGTTGGCACTCCACGGCCGAAAAACTTTCCTCCGGAAAAAGATTTCTATTCCTTGGATGACATTCGCGGGAAAATTGTCTTTGGATACGACGGATTGAAATTTGAAGACGTTCCTGTTGTGATACCAAACCCAGGAAACACAGGCGGCGGAGAAGAGTTGGTAAAAGATTTGAATTTTGATATTGGTGCTGGCGAGCATTTATTAATAACCGGTCCCAATGGAGTTGGAAAGACCAGTGTCGCAAGAGTTGTTGCATTGCTATGGCCTACTTTCCGTATGTTGATTTTTTTTTTTTTTTTTGATTTTTTTTTTTTTTTTTTGAAATTTGTGGAATTGCTAGTAGGGTGGTCGGTTCCTTTTTAGGGTTTATTATTCAACTTTATGTTTATTATAGGAGGTTCTCTTTCTCGACCAAGTGTTGGAAATATCTTCTATATTCCTCAGCGCCCTTATCTCAGCATTGGTAATCTGCGCGATCAGTGAGTAAAACAAAAGGCAATGTTAGTTAGTGCTGGTTTGTCTATTATCGATGACTTATCCTCTTATAATTTCAGAGTCATCTACCCGCACTCGTATGGTGATATGATCCGTGCTGGTCGGACCGATGAAGAGCTCTTGGAAATTCTTAAAATCGCACATTTAGCGTTTATAGTTAGTCGCGAAGGCGGGTGGGAAACCAGGAAGGAATGGAAAGATGTGTTTTCTGGTGGCGAGAAGCAGAGGGTATGTCTAGTCTGTTGTAATCGTTATGATTCGTTTTTCGAAAGTTGTTTCATCGATTAAATGTTGTCTATAAAATATAGTTGGGTATTGCGAGGTTACTTTACCATAAGCCACAGTTTGCTGTGCTTGACGAATGTGAGTTCTTTTCGGTTGATGTTTGTGTCATCTCTATTTCAGACTTCTAATATTGTGAGGTTAATTTGCAGGTACGAGTGCTGTCAGCACCGACGTTGAAGGTTTGCTGTATCAAGCTGCCAAGGATACGGGCATAAGTACGTGAAGATTTCTTTAACATAGCATCGTCCTCAATCAAACTCAACAGACTTAACTCTCGTCTTATTTTACAGCTCTAATAACAATTTCTCACCGACCATCGCTGATAAAATACCATACCCACCTTCTTCGTATCCACGGAGACCATGGCAGCTGGGAATTTTCCCGTATCGGCACTGCAGAAGAGCGTATGTCTATTGATAAAGAAATCGCTGCGTTGGAGGCTAAATTACGCGACGTTGAAAAAGACCAAGAACGTCTAGCAGATATTAATAGAGAATTGCAACTTGGTGTTTGATCGTAGTATACAGGTCGAATGCCTAGACAAGTATTAATGTTAATCTTGAGAAATAGTTATATAGATCGTGGAGATATTATTGTGATTTGATTTATATTAAATGTATACTAGATTCTTTGAATCACCACGGATTTGGTAATGAAAATGTTTGATGAACGGTCATTAGTATTTATAGGAATTCTCGACAATTAGCTTTCCAGGGACTAACCCTAGCCTAACCGCTTGGATAAATTTTAGCGTAATGCATGGGGCATGCTACAACAAAACCAGACAAAGTGAACATTTTTGTGCCTAATCCTATCACCTGTAAGTTCGTTAAGCAACTCAGAAGTATACCGACTGAGCTCGGATATACCTCATCTCTGTGGAATAAGATTGTATTTCGACGATTTTTATTGCAGCGGCTGACATGAGATTTGTAATTAGCGAAAACTCGAGTTGTAAACGTATTATTAGGCTATATAATCGTCTAATTGTTGAATATTTAGTAAAGGATTAATTTTTTTTTGGGATATTTTTTTTTGAAAAATAGTTCTAACATGGCCCATTAGCTCTCGCAACCAAGGAGTCCTCTCTGATAAGACGCCGTCGGGTAGCAGAACCGCTCGCACTTTTGCTTTTAGCCATTCGTTTTTGGAGCATGTTAACACAGTTCGGCAAAAAAAAAAAAAAAAAAAAAAAAAAAAAAAAAAGGGAATATTAACGCTTTTCGTCGAATTACTGGGACGGAGGAAATTTGACGTTTAAGTTATTGATGGTCCCTAAATATTATTAATAAAACAAATAAATAAAAAATTACCAGTAACATCATCCTCACTACCAATACTATCAACGCTGTTACAATCATCCATAATAGTAACCGTTTCGTCAGGAAAAGT